TGAGTATTTGGAGATACTATTTCAAATGCAAACCAATTTATCAGTGCGCTTATGAACCGATTCGACTAAGCAAAATCTTATCGTTCAGAATAGTGTAAATATCTAAGTGCGAAACTCAGGCTTCAAAGTAGAAGAGATCAACACTAAGATTTACTATTCATTTCGCCTTAGTATTCGAAGAATCAATCTATGGCTAATATGTTTGTTTTGAAATATGCCAGAGTAATGTTATGCTTCAAAACAACAACTGTTCACACCTACAGTGATATATCACGACTCAATAGACATTTACTATGTCACTTCTATTAGATTAAGGGAAAAGTTCCTTAACACCCGCTGAAGACTCAATGCCTATACATAAATTCATTCAAGAACAACAGTAATCATTTTTCAAAAAAAGACCGCCATTATTCAAAATCTTCTGCCACAATTGTAAGCTTACGGATGTGCTCAGAATACTATTCTTTCTGCTTTGCAAAAAAAAAAAACTCCTAACATGCTTCTTCCACGTGATCAAACGTCTCGAATCGACGTCCACGCAGGAAATGTTTCAATGAAATAAAAAAGCCATAATACGACGGCGCAGCATCTGGATTGTAGGCTGGGTAAGGTAGGACCTCGATTCCCTCCAATTCATCAAACTTTTCCTCAGCCTTCTTTGCGATGTAAGGTTTGTCATTGTCGCTGAAACAGCTTGTGCTTTCGACTAATCAATGTCGGTTACTTTTCCTTCAACGCATCGTAGACTCTGTCCAGCTGCTGACAGTAGAGAGCGAGACATTTCCATGAATTTACAATAACCGATATTGTGTGAAACAAACATAAAATTCCAATTTTTCGAGCGTGTTAAGAAATTTTTTCTCACCTCATTATCTGTTTTCCATTGCTTTTTTCACTGCGTAAATCCCAATACTTCCGGCATTCAATTCATTTTTCGTTTTCTTCTTGAACGTCGTAGAGATCTGTTCGAGCACGTCTCTTTGCAATCTCGAGGATTCCATATCAATGGCGTCCCGGCACGTTTTTTTTTTTGCTGACTGTCGGAGAGCATTGAGGGTGTGATCAACCACACACCTCGTCGCGACGAACATCATAACCACTCGGCCACAGGTCTCCAATTACTACATAATCTGCAAACTCTCGTGGCTTTTTGTTGGGCAAAATCACTCAACATTGTTGAAAGATTCGCCTCAAAGAATAAGTCGGATTGATGGGACTATGAGAGAAAATATGTTCTATCAACAGAGTCGTTTACGTCAATACTGCAAACATCATACACTTCCAGTCTGCTGAAACAAGTTTTTCTCAACTACACTAATGACAACATTAGTGAGCCGTTTTTGCGATAAAGAGCACCATTTACGAAGCTTTGTTCAAGACATAATAGACAAATATTATGTCAAAACATATTTTAGAATGACATTCTCTCAACCTCTGCATTAACAGTTAATCATAATTTTGTTGATGAAATGTGAAGCGTGAGGTTGACAATAAAGATTTATTCGACTAGTGTTTCGAGGGGTTCCATATTCTCTGAATCACCGGCTCTAAGAAGACGAAACGCGTCGAAACATAACCGGATAAATTTCTTATTGTCAATCTCGTGCTACAGGCTTAATCAATGAAGGGAAATGGTTTTATCATATGGTTTTTGCATAAAATGAGCCTCATCGTCATCTGTAGCAAGTTAGCTTTTTTACGTAAGTCATATTCTGAAAAATTTTCATGTTTAGGCCCGCACATCGTCATCAGTCAGCTGGTTAGATACTCTCAGTAATCGTTTGCGGTGTGAAAGATTCCGACTCGAACTACAGGAATCCTTTCACTGGTCTACAAGTGGCGACAGCTGTTGGTGTTGATATGTCTTTTGGAAGTCTTTAGAAGAGCCGTTTCGAGATTTGTGGGACCACCACGATTCATAGGGATTTAACATGCTTTTGAGCAGAAATAATTGATATCTCAACTTCACCTTAGGCTGAATAATTGAGGACGCCTTACGTTCTCTAGAATTACAAGTGTTATCATTCCCGTACCGCAGTAGTGATTTCTTACGATACCTTGTCAGTTTACAATCAACAATTTCACCTTGTTCAATAGCACCTATATGTATTTCTGGCTTTATACAGTGGTACTACAGGAAAAGATCAGCGGGTCCTAAAGCTCAGTCAGAGTTGTCAAACTGCCCTCAACCTGGAAAAGCTCATAAAATATATTCTTGTTGAATTTTTTATAAATTTCACATTTAAATGCGCCCAACAACAAAAGGTGAAACATAAAATATCATTTCCTATCAAATTCAATTGTAGAGCCGTTTAATGTGAAGGCGTAATGGATTAGTACAATAATGGTGTCGTGAAGTTACCCGATTTATTGCTGTTACCTCTATATTACTATTACGCCGTCGAATTCTTGACAATTACCACTTTCTCAATAAATAGTAGAGAATTTATTCTAAATGATTTCGATGATGATTATTCGTCTTCAAACAGTATCACTTCTAAAAGATCCAAGACGATTCAAGCACTGAAATACCTGGTCTTATCTCGCAGATCTCCAGGATGCAAAGAGTACGTTGGCCAATTGTCAATCAAAATAATTATAGTAATTTGTAGCAACCATGTCTTTGGTCATGAATAAACCAAGAGTGTGATTAATCATGCTGAGGTTGATTGAAAGTCGAAGCTGACATTATGACGACGATAGAATCCCTTGCTTTCTTGAAATAAGACTTAAACTTGTAAACAAGTTATTTCCACACTTGACTGAGAGCTGCTATAAGTAGAAAAGGTGTGCTTAGAGTACTCACCGTTTTTTTTTATTGGCAAAGGGATTTTTGAGGTCGGCACTACTGTTCTTCGATCGATACGTTTACAATAAATTTTGTTTAGAAGTGTAATGGCATGTGACGCAATTGCAAAGTGACGGAGTGTTCTTTACTCAAATTGGTATAAAAGATGTGCTATCTTGACCCTCCATGAATTTATTTCATAGATTTATGAGCTTTAGCACTCGTATGTGTTTCGGTTATAAACGAACGTCATCCGTTGGAGCTGTTGTGTTGGGATTCAAGTTCAGCCACGTAATGGTAATCTGTCGTTTGCTCTTTGAATTGAGTCGGAATGAATGTCAATAGCAGTTTTCGTGGAACTTCGAAATAGCATCGCATTCAGCGTTCACGGATCCTCATCGTGGATCTACCGAGCTTTGAAGTTCGGAGGATCGTAGTATGGATTACTGTTTTATGGCCTCAATTATTTCGGGATAACAGCGATTTCAAAGATTGTTAACCATGCAATCGTATGATTACGTAACAACATGAGTAAGAGTGTAGTGCAACCAACCCTATTCTTTTGCCCAGAATCTCATGAATTTTCTTCTTTCACCTGTGTTGTACACTTTAGGCATCGAACTTGTGTGATAAAATATCCCCAAATTCTTTAATTCATATTTTACAATTGAGAGTAAACAACAAAAAATGCATTCAAAACATGAGCATGAACACAAAAGAGCACTTCAAATCTAAAACAAACAACCGAAAGTATCAATGTAATAACGCATCCTGAAATAGCTTGCAAAAATGTTTTCAATCTCCTATAAGGCCTCTCCAGTTGAGATGGCAAGTTAGTGGAGTAGTTCTATCATTTAGCAATCTTTGTGAAATCAGGGAGCGTTCAAAAGTGCGACTATCTCTAGACCTCAGATTGAGTAGTGGCTGGTATTTCTCCTCTCGAAACTGGATGGCTAACGTTTCGGCGACCCCCGCCTTCGTCAGAGCCTATACTTATAAAGGAGAAGTCACCAGTCTACTGTGACACACTTTGAAAAAGTACAAAAAAATTTTTTCCAAATTGTGTCTTACAAGACCGGTAACCTCTCCTATGTAGGGAAGTTCTGACGAAGACGGGTCCGGGCGAAACGTTAGCCATCAGGTTTTTGAGGTAGGAGAAGTGTCAACCACGTGCAAGTTTTGGGCAGAGAACGTTATTCTTTGCAAAAGGATCAAAGCCTATTAAGTACAAATGATTGAAGACTATCGCTGAAAAGCATGCAATTCTGGGAAACGTATGACTAGACGAATGAATGAACGAATCAACGGATGAATGATTCGATGAATATTGGACGAAGAATGATTATTGAAATGAATACCGCCAAACATGGCAAACGAGCTCAGAGTTCATCAGTGAAGTAACTGAAACAATCCTAGGGAAATATATCTTACCTAATCGAAAATGAAACAAAGAAATACGACCAACTGAAGCAAAGATGTTGAATACTTAAACACTACGAATTGTTGACATAATGACATTAATCGGAAGATAAAAATGCAGTTATGAAAACACATCAACGCCCCAAAATGCCCTTGAAAGTCGTTTTGTTCAGCTGTTTTTTATTTTCTGCCCCATGCTGAAGAGATTCGTCATGTCAGCTTTAGAAACTGATCGAAGTGATAGGTCTGATTTGCAAACGCGAACTCGCTTTCGGAGGTTATGGAAACAGCTGGATTTTTGTACAGGAGTGGTGAGACACCTAAATCTGTTTAGTTTCTGTCATCACCAAATTTTTCAATAACTGGATTATGTGTGCACCTTATATATGTGTATATGTGTATATATGTATATACGTTCATAACATATACATATGTGTAGACGCACCTGGCGCAGTGCGTTGCACACAAGATCAGTAGTTCGATCTCGCAGCTCATAGTTTCCAGGTCCTCCATCGCTCCACAGCAGGGAACTGGTGCCATATTTGACTGGGAGGATAAGCAGCACTAACCTGATGCATCGAGAAGCCACCGCAAGTCGTCTCAATGGTCAGATATCATTCAATCATCTCGCATGAAGCTGAAATTAAAGAAGAGTTCATGAGGCATCTTTCAAAGATTGAACAAAACGAAGATTGTATACATATATATAAAATCTTTGGTGGCTTTACTGCCTTTTCGCAGTGTTATAATGTTTCATAAATACCTAAGAGAATTGAGTAGTGAGCAAAAACGCGACCTCAGACAGGAGTCGAACCCGCGTTTCATCCATACCGGGGACGCGTGCTAGCACCACACCACAGAGGTACATTAGCGCCACCTTTCATTCTTTAACATCTCTATGATAGCTGTCAGCCAGTAACCTTCAACAGGTTCAGTCGGGTATGCGAGTTCGCTCTATAAACCCAGTTGAGCTGATAGCCACTATGATAAATAATTCTCGAAATTTTTGATGTTTTTACTGCCTTTTCTATCATAAAGATGTCAAAGAATGAGTGGTGACGCTAATGTACCTCTGTGGTGTAGAGATAGCACGCGTCCCGATTTGGATAAAACGCGGGTTCGACTCCCGTCTGTGGTCGTGTTTTTGCTCACCACTCAAATCTGTGTGTGTTTGTGTGTGCCTCTGTGTCAGTGTTTGTGATGATTGGTGTCTTTAAGTAAATCACTAACATACATGGTATGTGGAATCGCATAGAAGAAAGGTGTCTGAGAAAGTTCATAACTTAGATTTGTTATCTTCTTTGTCCCCTTAGTACAAAAACATGACATCTGAAAGTGAGCATTATTTCGCATCCGACACTACTCTTGTCACTTGCACTACTTGTACTGTCCTTATTACGGATGACTTTAACGCTAGTGAAACCTCCACTAATCCGTGTACTAGACCATGTCCAGTCCAATATGTTCGTTCTACTGAAGAGTTTGTCCGCCAGGCCACCGTAGGTCATCCATCTGTTATGCCGTCGAATTTTTTTTCTACTTATTGACAACATCTACAGCACGAAAACAGTCTTCACAAATGTTGACTGTTACGTTCTTTATAAGACCGAAGATCATAACGACTATGACGTGATCGCTCTATTAAAGACAAACAAAACAAAGGATTTGCTGGAAAAAAGACGAATCCTTGTAGTGTGGAACAAGAAGAGAATCTGTTATAAGATGCACGTGGCATAATCATCTGTCATGAGTCGACCACGTCAATTGTGAGATCTTATCACCATCACTGACCGATCTCGATCTTCAACCTGCGCGCTTGGAAAAGACCAGTTTGCTATCCACTAACCCATACTGTCGTTATCTATCTATGGTAATGATGAACGAGTTTTTATGAAAATTTCTGATATATGCTTAGTTAGATTGAAAGGACTGCAAATGTGAACGAATAGGGAAAATAGCACTTCTGTCGTCAAAAATTTGCAGTCCCACAGCGTTCATTTGGATTCACAATTCGAACATTCCTACTTGATTTCTCTCTAGGTGCAGAGAAAACCATGCTAATAGTTAGACTCCTTCACGAAACCCTCAAAAAAATAATATGGAAGTGTTTAACTGACTGGATTGTGAACAACCTGATGTTCCTAGGCTTTGGAGAAAGCGAAACAGCCAAACGTTAGCTGTTTGAATAAATGGTATACATAAAAACATGGTGTCAAGCTCAGTCAAACATAACAAAGAGTTATCTACATAGACATTTCAAGAAAAGTTGTGTAGTCTGTGGCGTGCTCACCTGATGGACACCCATAAACGATGAAAAGGATCAAGATCTCGGCTTCAATCACTTTTCAGGAGATGCGTTACGCATTCGTCTCCAAATTTTTGGCTTCGTTTGAGATGGTTGAATGCATATGTGGCCTTTTCAATGACTCACGGTGGAACACCAATCCATCAAGTCAATGCTGCTTATTCTCCCAGACAAGTTTGGTACGACTCACCGACCTCAAGAGGATGAAGGCTGATGAGCCTTGAGTGCCATATCGTACCATCGACCATCGATTAATCGACCGTCTGTGTCACAGAGCATTGCGCCATACACGACGGACACTCATAATTATCATAACGATTTATTTTTTACTTTGTACAAAATAGGGGAAGGATAAAGCAAAGATACTGATGACGATAATCGCAAACAAGTGCTGGTTCGACTTCGCAAAGAGCATCAAACTATCTCTCATTCCACCGTGGTTAGGTAATCTCTATCTGACTTGTCTGGGAAAGCTGACATTCTGCTCTTTGAGTGGAAGCGCTCCAGTCTAGCCATTCTAAGACTCACAAAGAATTGACTCGACCTGCATTCAGCGACTTCATGACGAAAGGGAAATTCTCAAGCAGCAGCCGAGCTTGGGCAGAAGTTGAAGGCTTTCGTGGATGACGATACATAAGAATTGAGGAAGTGTTGGAATTCGCACCGTAAATTTAGAAGACGATTGTGTGAAATAGAAATAAAACTGCACAGCATGGTACTTAGGTCTAGAATCTCGTATTAAGTCATTGATTGATCAAGCACAGATTATAAGCAGGATAGTGAATGTAGAAAGGGAATAGAAAACATGCTTTCATGTTGTAAATAATTTCTAAGTGTAAATTCAAGATTCGACATTCGAATCAGGTCAAGCAATAGTAATAATCTCACCTCCCATGAGTTATTGATTAAGTCCGGGCAGAGTCCCTAAAAGGTGTTGAGCCATGATGAAAAGCAAGGGAGGTAAGAGTGATCTGGACTGATATGGGTGACGCTTTTATTCTGAAATGCGACTGAGGTAAAACCATTGTCAGTAACAGGTACCGTGTTCTGATTGAAATTAATTTCTATTGTGGTTAACTTGGCAAACCTTTTCCAGATCTACAACAACTTCAGAACTCTAGGATGACTATCTCGACATCCAATGAGAAAAATTTTGCACCGCGGGCGAACAAGCCGTCGATTGCAGATCGTTCTGAAGCTCGCATAATTTTCTTGTGAGGACAGGCAATTTTTTCCATGGTTTTGACACCACCGAATTTAGGAGCAATCTCTGATTTTTGAAGGCAACAAAACCCTTCTCCGGCTTGTAAATTAAATCTCTTTCTTTCCTCTCAGATAGATATATTTCGACATATGCTCGAGCTTCTTGATGATATGATGTCAAATTTGATGTACAAGATGTTTTTATGTTGAAATCACAGTGATGATCCTACCTACTAGGCAAATTCACCCATGACGCTCACAGTACTTTAACTAATTAATGAAAATCATGAAATAACTTTCAAAAGATATTTTGCAATGAAGTTTTCGAACACCTCTAAAGTTGAATTTCAGAGAATGAGCTCGGTTAATTTGCTAAAGCGATAGATAACTACTGATGGTTTGACCGAATGAGTAACTGATTCCTTGAGTTTTCGGTTTTGACTACTTTTATTCCATGAGAACAAATATTTATATTTCAAATCTGTGGCCATCGAGAAATTATGACGCCGCCGAAATTCCCGCCAAAGAGGAGGCGCAACGGGGTGACCTGACCCCACCTATTCGACGCCCTCGCGACTGACGCCATATACTCCGCAAGGGTTCTTCATCATCATCCAAATGGCAAGCGATTCTTCAGACACGTCCGAAGAGAAGCAGGTAAGATGTTCTGATTGTTGTCCTATGCTTTTTGCAGTAATCTGTCAGGTATTTTATATATCATTGAATTTGCTCAAAAATCGAATCTAAGGCCGAGAACGAGGCCAAAGACGGCTGCATCCCATCGCGGCTTTCGAAACTAATACCTTGACTAAGGCGGCTATTAAGGAACTTAAGGGTTGCAAAGATGCCTTAAAGCAGGCCATCTTTAAATTCATCTAGCAAGGATTTAGGAATAGTTAGGAAAAGATCGGTTATGGCCAGAAACGTTCAATTTTTGATAATACTTTGTGATAGAATTCCAGCCTAGTAGGACGCAAGGGAGTGTTGAGTGAACTTTCAGGTAGACACCCAACAACGTGCGCCTCCTAAGAGAGGTGGTAACACTGGAGCCCAGAAACATGCCTCCGGCGAAAGTCACGAAGATGTCGCGCCAACGGCCAAAAAATCGAAACGCTCTGGATCGCGCAAAAAGTCTCCATCCAAGCCGAAAAAAAGCCAAATCAAAGGTAAGTCTTCAGAAGCGGTATGGTAGAAACAGATTTGAGTAGGATCGAATCAGTTCAGGCGAGAGGAAGTGTAGCGAATGGTGATTCGAAAATAAATCATTAACGTGAAAAAAATCTTTCAGTGCTATAAAGTTCTCAATAATTGTATTAAGGCAAAGACTCCAAGAAAGTCGAAATCACCAAAGAAGGCTAAATCTTCGTCACCAAAGAAGTCGATTGCTAAGAAAACTAGCAAGCCGAAAACGTCAAAGAAGCCGTCCGTAAAGAAGGCAGCTGCTCCTAAAGCGTAATCATCCGTAATTTTGTTGATACGATCTCATGTATTCAGTATGTAACCCCGTTGAATGTGTACTTTAACTCATTACTAGTTACGATTGTACCGCTGGCGTCCTGAAGACGTAACAATAAACTGTTCATAATAGTGTAGTGCATACATATGGAATGGTTCACAGCTATAAATGAAGAATTTGTTATAGTAAACACCGGGATTGATCACCGTAAAAAATTCAAAAAATTGTAAAAAAAATTCCATAAATAACTGCCACCCGATCTTTCCAATCGATCAGTTGGCTTCCTGATTGATCAGGCTGACTAAGTACGGTGATGGTGCAGATGCAGATATCCTGCGAACTCCAGACACTATTAAAATATCAGGAAAAGTTGAGATCGCAGTCGAAAGGAACTAGTTAGAGCGGCTCTCGGAGTTAAGATATAGTTTATATTGATCAATCGATAGTGATAGAACATGCTTAAAGCTCCACTAGGCAACTCTTTCCGTTGCAATGAAGATACTGGATAGATGAGTTGGATTATGAGATGTCTAGTTCCAGTCATTTCTCCTTTGTCGTTACAAAATCTCTGACGGCGTTTGCCTGTTTCGAATCCCTTTAGTCCTCTATGGAATCCTTTCTATGGTTAGTATTCTTCGACCACTGCTCGAAGATTTGTCTCATTCATCACGGTGAAACATATATGCTTGTAAGAATCGTTTCACAGTATTTCTAGGCAGGATGTGGAGGATATTGACGATTTCGATAAAGAACTAATTTCTTCGATCGCGTTGACGGATTTGGGCATGGAAATAAATAAATCAATTGTTCGGCTGCTTCACTTCCTGCAATGACTTCATATACTTGCAGTTTTTACAAAAGAACGCCATGGTGTAGAAATGAGTGCACCACATATCTGCT